GATATAAGAATGTGAAACAATGAGAAGAATATCACACCATATAAGAATGTTAAACAATGCGAAAAGCATACATATCGAACCATACATATGAGAAGAATGAAACGAAAATAATCAGGACTTCTTAACAAATTGTACACTGATAAAGTTAGTTTCAGGCTTGACGCGAAAGAAAAGAGAGCTTCATCTGGAAGGAAGGACATTCTTTACACGCCTACCTGCATGAATCGAAGAGTTATTTATGGTTTTATATAACTAGAATCTGATCGGAGTTTGAAACCAATTTCTTTTTTCTCAGTCGACCTAGTTGTCTTTTTCGTGTGACAAAACAAGTATCACAAACGACTGAAAGGCGTGTATTTGATAAGAGACTCTTTTATGAATTTAGATAGTCAGAGAGTCAGAGATCGGTTAAAGTTGTTCAACAATTATGGGACACAAAAAGTCAAAGTTGAATGTCCATCAGTCCGATTACCACCAAAGTCAAACTCCACCGCGAATGACTGATGCATCCAGCCTTATGAAGAGTCAAGAGCGCAATTTGGAGAGCAATACAGTGATGTGGCTTGATGCTAATATCGATAGTACAGAAGATAATCGTCGAGCAAAAGCTCGATTGCGTCAGACTATCAACTATTTAAGAACGTTTGATGATGCTGATCAGTGTGTTGAATGCATATCACTTGTTCGAACCGAAAACATATTTTTGATCGTTTCTGGCTCACTGGGGCAAACGGTGGTTCCACTCATTCACGATACAAGACATGTTCAATCCATTTACGTGTTTTGCTCAAATAAAGAGTGGCACGAAAAATGGGTCACAAAATTTCGAAAAGTGCGTGGTGTGTACACAGACATAAAACATATTTGCGAGGCTTTAGAAGAACAAGTTCACATTTCCTCTAATGATATGAGCGGACTCATCAGCGTCCTATCTTCATCAAACAGTAACAATGAGAAACAAGAGGCATCGTTCATGTATTTTCAATTGCTCATTGAGATTTTACTTGAGATAGACAGTAGTGATGAAAGTAAACAAGAACTTATTGAGCAATGTTCAAAACAATATGAAGAGAATGAAAAGGAACTAGCTTATATTGAAGAGTTTCACAAAAAGTATGAACCGAATCGTGCCATATGGTGGTACACAAGAGAGTGCTTTTTGTATCGAATGCTAAATAAAGCACTTCGTGTTCAAGACATTGACATTCTATTTAAACTCCGATTTTTCATCAAGGATCTTCACAATCAACTTGAACAACTGCATTTCAAGTCGCTCAATGTCGCGAAAGAGTTAACTCTTTATAGAGGACAAGGGATGGTAGTGGAGGAGTTTGAAAAGCTAAAAGGGAACATCGGTGGATTCCTATCAATTAATTATTTTCTCTCCACAAGCCAAAGTAGAGATGTTGCAGTAAGATTTGCTCAAGCTTCGCGCAACCAAGAAGGGTTTGAAGCCATTTTATTCGAGATCAGTATTGATATAGAAAACTGTTCGAAGCCATTCCACAATATTACAAAGTATAGTGCACTGCCCAAAGAAAGCGAAGTTCTTTTCTCTCTCGGAACAGTATTTCGAATTCAATCGATTAGACGATCCACCTCCACTGGTATCTGGAATGTGAAGCTCCTTCTGAATGGGCAGGAAGACCAAGATCTGAGGCACCTAACAGGACAAATACGAAACGAAGTCCAGGAAAACTCCAAACTAAGCAGTCTAGGAAATTTGTTGTGGAGAATGGGAGAGTATGATAAAGCTGAACATTATTATCTTATGCTAATCGACAAGACATCAGGCGAAGATCCAGACATCGCTTCATACTACAACAATATTGGACTGGTATATAATGCTATGGGTGAATATTCAAAGGCTTTGGATTATTATGAAAAGACACTGGAACTGAAATTGAAAACACTGGGCCCCAATCACCCGTCTGTTGCTACGACATATAACAATATTGGAGGGGTTTATAATGCTATGGGTGACTATTCAAAGGCGTTGGATTATTATGAAAAGACACTGGAACTGGACTTGAAAACACTGGGCCCCAATCACCCGTCTGTTGCTACGACATATAACAATATTGGAGGGGTTTATAATGCTATGGGTGACTATTCAAAGGCGTTGGATTATTATGAAAAGACACTGGAACTGAAATTGAAAACACTGGGCCCCAATCACCCGTCTGTTGCTACGACATATAACAATATTGGACTGGTTTATAATGCTATGGGTGACTATTCAAAGGCGTTGGATTATTATGAAAAGACACTGGAACTGGAATTGAAAACACTGGGCCCCAATCACCCGTCTGTTGCTACGACATATAACAATATTGGAGGGGTTTATAATGCTATGGGTGACTATTCAAAGGCGTTGGATTATTATGAAAAGACACTGGAACTGGACTTGAAAACACTGGGCCCCAATCACCCGTCTGTTGCTACGACATATAACCACATGGGATTCCTTTATAAAAATCAAAAGCGCTATAGAGAAGCGAAGAAGTACTTTGAAATGTCTCTAGCAATCAGAGAGAAAGCTTTACCCAGCACACATCCGCATGTCTTGAGCGGTCAACAGCAGTTAGCAGAAGTAACCTCAATATATCAGAGTGTATAATTATTTTATTGTTTGTTTGGTGGTGAGACTATTGTATGACTTGAGCACGTAGCTCTGCTACCTCAGTGCATTTTTGCAAATGTGAAATTGAGTGAAATGCAAATGTGAAATGTGAAGTTATATTTGGAATGTGAAGCTCATGCTGAATGGAGAGGAAGGCCAAGATCTGAGGCACCTGACAGGACAAATACAAAACGAAGTCTAGACGAAGTCCAAACTAAACAGTCTAAGTGGTTTCTTGCGAAGAATGGGAGACTATGATAAAGCTGAACATTATTATCTTATGCTAATCGACAAGACATCAAGCGAAGACCCTGACATCGCCAGATCGACTGAAGCGTTTACTGCTCAAGTTAATGTGTATCGCAGAACATAGAGGCGTAGGAGATGGTCAAAAATAACATTTTCACTGGAGTGGCCAGTAGGAGAAAACTTGGTGGAAAATGACTTTTTGCAGATACAGTTTTTAGTTATTCACAAGGGATATAGTAACTGACAGTTCCTCATTATCGCAAAATCGACTTGTTGTATGCTGAATAGAATCGGTCCAAATTTGTTTTCTGAATAGCTTATTGAATGAATGTACGGGCGGCAAAGTATCTCTTTATTCGAATCACTTGTCGCATTTCTGGCGGGAATAGTGGCGCGTTTAATATTGGGCTACGTTTAGTGTCGGGTTTCTCTCGATTTCTTACTTCTGGTGACACCAGAGGAACTTGACATCCTTTCACTTATTGCATTAGCATATTGCTGTTTTGACGAAATTGATCATATGTTTCCAGGTAGAAGAAAATAACAGATTTTCAAAGTTTTCATTTTTTTCGTCTTTCGTATCATCTGCGTAGTTTTCTTGATTAAAGCTCTAAAATTCAAGGTTAGGTATGGTTTTGTAGAGCATTTCGCGGGGCATCTTTTTAAAAAAACATTAACCTTTGGGTCCTAAAGAAACACGAGAAAATTAGAAAATATTGAGATGTCACACTCATTTCTGGGAATCAATTTCTGGGAATCTGACGATGAGGTGGCCGTCATTGCACTCAATTTGTTTTTCAGCAAATAAATGCAAGACCAGATTTAAATATACAGAATTGTAGAGAATTCCAAGCGCTATCAGAATATGGGGTTACTTCTGTAAAAGTATATTTTCGTAAGGAAAATATCTTAAAAATACTGTGCAACTATTTTTTTCCACGAGGATATATGTTGTAGCGAAAACTACTATTCGGTGAAATTCTAGATTTCGCCAGGCAAAACTGGAATCCGAGTTTTCCCTAGCGGAAACTGAGATGCATGTGCGTGCACATGCTCGATTCCAGTTTTCTCCAGTGAAAATCGAGATTTTGCTAGGTAAAAGTGAAATCCGACTTTTCCACTTTTTGTGTCAATGAGTTCTTATGGATTCTGAAGGAGTTACATATTTATCATTGCTGTTAAGTCACTAATACTAAGAGTTCATTTCATTTATTTGGATAGATCATACTATTGTAGAAGTTTGTAAAAGTGAACATATTCCACACAAACCAGCATACAAATATATCAGCAAGTTGCTGAAAAAAAGAGAGGAAGTTGTTGTTGTTTTTTTACCAGTGGACACACAAATAGGGGAAAAAACAAACAAAAGAAAACAGCAAAAAACCACAAGACAGAACACATTTTAGTAGACTTAAAATAGATTTAGAGGCAACTTTAAATTTCTCTTAAACATTTTTATAGAAGGGACATACATGAACGATTGAGAAAGCTTGTTCCAGTCTTTAGGAGTAGTACAGAAAAATGAGGAACTAATCGTTTTTGTACTACTAAAAGCAACAGAAACAGGACAAGAATGATTAGATCGAGTAGAAAATCTAGTAATTCGAGGAACAATGAGTCTAGTAGATATTGATAGTGTTTACCTTGGGTGATCGTGATATAGACGTAAAGGTTTTTCAAAGGTTAAGGTATTTTTTAATACTGCGATGGCGGAATGTATGTGGTGTAATCGAGTATCTGGCGGTTTTTTTGTTTTTTGTGATTAATGAATAGTTGTATGTGTTACCTTTTTGGAGTCAGTTTTATATCGGCTTTACGTTATTTTTTTAACTTCACTGAATGGTGTGCTTCTGTTTCTTTGAGATCAGTTCAAGTAACCATATTGCGTAGTAGCTGCTGGTAAGTGTAACTTTATATTGAATACTGCAAAAGAAGAAGAAAGTAAAGGAAAGTTACTTCCAGTTTTTGCTGTATTTGGTCAGCGAAAGGTTCGTCATTTGTTCGAAAATGCGTCACAACTGGCTAAAACCTTTTTCAGCACACTATCATGTACGTAAAATTTACGGGGTATTTCACCAAAGATGAATTCAAGATGCATCAATGCAGCAATATTATCCGATATCTGTTCGCAGAAGCCTCAATTTTGAAATATTAAAGCAACAAACTTAGCAAAGCCACTATCATTCAGAATTTGAAATAAATGACATTAACTCAAATATATTTTGTTCTGGTTTATTTGTATATTCCGATGATGTTGTTCAACTGTGATGAATAGATTGAAATTCCAAAAATGATTAAAAAACACAAATCGTTCATTTTCATAATTTATTATTGCTGGATTTTCCATTCAGAAAAAGATAAATGATTTTCTCAAAAATAAGAGAAGTATAAAAGTAACAAAAAATATTAAAATATTTTTCTAGACACACGTGCCATACCACAGTGAAACTGTCAATCTATGAGTAATCAATTTATTCATGCCTAAAATATTTTAATTCATCAGACTAAACGTTTTTTATTCCAGAAAAATGCAATTCTGCGAATAGGTGAAATACTATCTGCATGATAAAAATTGCGTTTCTTATTTTTATATTGTATGAAAATTCTACATTTGAACTTGTTGATAAATAGGAATTGAACTGGGCAATTATCATTGTAATTGTTTGAAATAAATAATTCATTACATGTCAATAGTCAAGTCAAATGCAATGTAATATGAAAATGCAGAGTTTCAGTTTCATATGTTGAAACTAGAAAACAAACGAACTAGATTGTTTGTTGTAGGGATCCTAATTAACAAGAGCTAATTTCTGAGAAGAAAAAATGTATGTAATCCGGTGGGATACTATGGGATGGATATTTTTCGAACAATCACAGAGCCCCAATAGAAAAAAGATGGAGTCAAATTAAATCAAAAGCAGTCATGTATTATGATGGTTCGACGTGTTATGCGACATTTTGCACGAGATGGTGAGGGACTGGAACGGCATGAACGTTCGATGCAGGACAAGATCGAAATATCCATTCTCAGATATTTTTCCTCGTTTGAAACGGAGCAGGATGAAAATTTTCATCGATAGGACGGAGTTTTCGTTTTCCTGATCGACGATCACACATATAAAGAAAAGCGAGTCAAATAAACTTGATAATTGGCCCATTTTACTTTTTTTTTAACCTAAAAACTGTTCTACAAACAGTTTAAAAGTATTTTTATTCTAGATTAAATATTTTCACTTTTTGTTTATAAAACTTTGTTGTAGACGGAAATCTGCTTAAATTTATTTTGTTGTAGGACAACTTTAGTATTCTTCGTTACTTATTTATTTCTCTCTTTTCGTTATTTCATATCTGATTTATATATGAAAACTTGAATTTTTGATCGAATAAGGTATTATAATCATTTACTGCTTAATTCATCATATTTTAGTCCTAAATTGAGAAGTCACAGTGATCCCATATGCGCATTCACTAGAGACAAAGAAGATATCAAAAGAAACTTATAATGGCAACGCTAAATTTCTAAGATTACATTGATAGTTTGCGTGTAACAATGCATAATGATGCACACATATATAACAACTACGAAGCACTAACGATATTTTAGATAATACGAGCGTCTCATAATGGCACCGTGCATCGGTGTACGCTGAATTCTCCTCAAGATTTTTATATCTCTGTTGATTTTCTAAAATGAATTTCGAACATCTTATAAATAAAAGCTGCGTTACTAATAATGTCTTGCTAGATATTTTTCAGAATTTTCATTGATTTTGATCTATAACAAGCTTATTTGATCGTCCTTGTTGTTCTCAGCTGACTGCTACGTTATATACCTTTTCTTGTCCCATCCTCATGTCTTTCTCTTTTCCATAAAAATGTATACAACTTTTATAAATAAAAGAAATGGTTATGTTTGGTCGATATCGATTCGTTTGATTGAAATAACTGATACAGAAGATCTTCTTCAAGGCAGGTTTTTATCAAAACAAGTTTCACAGGACGTGCGTCTGCATACCTAACTGAACATGTTAAACTTGCTCCGTTGAGCACAAGATATAACATTCCATCAAACAATCGTCGGCTCTATGTTGTCGATCATTTGAAAGTACAGCAATTAGACAAACATTTTTTGCATGCGTACAGGAATCTCAGCATTCACTTCTACGACAATGTTCAAAATCAAATTTAACACCTTGATTTTGAAAAATCCAAATAAAAACTATTATCTGAAACCTGATGTCCTGCGACGTCTTAACGTTTTCTTCATGCGATGACTAGTAGACTTCCCTCCATTGCACGAAATACTAAAAGAAAGAAATTTGCTGAATACTTTCTTAATTGTGATATATATAAAATCCAAAGAAGAGAATTGTACAAATCCTTACTGTCTGTTGGAGCGTCTGTTCATTCACGTGTTGACTATTTCTGTTCTCATTCTTCAGGAATCTTTAGTTCGTCATTCAACATTTTGTCACCAAGTAAGAATCTTATAATGACCAATAGTTCGGCTATGTTCTTACTTTTATTATTACTTTAAATAAAGCTTATATTAAAAAAAAAAAAAAAAAAAAGAAAAAATTGTTGCTTCAATCAATTTCTGGTAATTTTGTTATTGTTTTTAATGACATTCGATTTGTATCCCTCCATCCATGAATCAATTTTGCTTCATATTTATTTGGCAATTCAAATATGGCACTCTAAAACACATAAAGCGGAATAGAACCACGACTGGGCGAAGGGTACCGAGTTCATTTCAAGGCTGATAATTGTTTCAAACCTCTTTGACTGTCGTTATTTCTATTTTTTTCTCCTATGCCGTACAATACATGAAGTAGAAAAGTTACATAAGTAAACTTCTATTGCATATCCCATATTGATACTGAAAATTTTCCTATTAATTTATGTAAGAACTTGAATCGATCGGAATAAAAACACAAAATCTTAAGTTCAAGTCTAAGTCTTTCGAAAAAATTCTCTAGTTCGAGACTACCGAAAAATTTTCCAGTCCGGACTCAATCTTGTCCAGCCTTGAGTAGAACTGATCGATTAACTACACTTATTAAAATCAAAGTATAACAGACGTTTGCTTCCGTAAAACTTTTGATAGCTTTACAGATTAGTATTTGTCGTCCATGAGCAGAGAGTGCTTTATTTACTTGCCTAGATCAAGAATGAAAACGTTTAGAGAAAGAAATTACCCTCATTTATATCTCAGTTCTGTTTAGGGCTGTGACAGTTACCAGTTACCGTTACCACCGTTACTCGGTAACTGTAACGCTAATGGTAACTGTCACAGCCCTAGTTCTGTTCTTCATTCATCATCACTTACTTTTTTATCTCTTGTAAATAAAACATCTGGACATATTCGTCTTCCGCTGAAATCTTGACCCAAAATTTTTTTCAAGGTAAAATAAAGAAGTGCAGGTCCACGAAATTCATCCGAAACTGTCATTTGCCATGTTGTATAATCCTAAAAAGAAGAAAATTCGCTATCAAATATATTTGTGACTCTACTTTAATTCCAACACTTACCTCTTGTTTTGTTATTAATGATAATGATTGCTGTTGTGGCACTGTTGATGTACCAGATATGCAAGCCAAGGCGGCAGATATTATATCGATAGGTGCCATTTTTTTCATTAATTCTTCAGCAACTGTGCGAAAATTAGAGCGTACATCTTCACTAACTGCTTCAATTGATCTAAATAAAGAGTTTGACATCTTTAGAAAAATGAATTGAAGAGAGTGAGAGAAAAATTATTACTCAGCAGCATTCGACGCGTGGGCCATAAAAACGTCTTGTGCTTTGGGAGCTTGAATACGTTTAAATCTGATGCCCTAAAAATAGAGGAAAAACAATACCAAGCGATGAATGAGTGAAGTGAAGACCTTAATAGGAAAATAGATTATTCGATTTCGTAGTAAAGTTGAACTGTACTGTGTCTTCTTTTACAACAAAGAGATTAAAAAAAGAAAACCCCGAAACATTTTGGAATAACAAAATCGATACAAAATTTGAATGTATCTAATGTTTTATTGTTTTATTTGTATATTTAGCGATTAGAAAACACATACATCAGCTGCTTTAGATAAGAATATGTCCGCTGATGGTATACTTACAGCTCGTCTCTCCACTGCTTCTAATTCAATCGATTGATTAGGTCGAAATAAACATATAGCTATTCCCGCTTTACCAGCACGTCCCGTGCGTCCAGAACGATGAATGTACGATTCCAAATCCTTGAAATAGAAAGATAATTAAACTTATATTATAAACAACAGACGAAGTTAACTCAAAAAATGAACCGACATACATACAAGAAACGAGAAAGATTGTGCGATTTTGGCAAAGAAGCTATATTAAGGACCGCTCTGTCCGAAAGCTATTTTTGTCCAAGAACAGCCGATCTTACAAAAATAAAAGACGATCAAATTTTAACAGCATGTGTATCTTATCCTAGAAAGAGGGTACTGAAGTTTTGAGCCCGAAATGTTCACATGTCATCAAAATCGAAACTAACTTCTGCTGATTAATCGCGATTTTGACTCAAAATGGTGATTAATTGCCAAAAGTTAGACGCTTTGATGACTTGGGTTGAGTTTTATCAGGGTTATCCTAAAAGTAATGGCGAAGAAGTAGGCGTTCGTGCAACAAAGATTTCTCTGCTATTTTAAATGGTAAAAAGCTCGATGGACCTGAACATATAACCCGAGTTTGGCGCTACAACTTAACAGAGGCGGACTTCTCAAATTTTTATTTATTTAGAACTTTTATGAAGAAAATTAGAAAAAGTTTGGTTAATTTTTCGAAAAACTTCATTTTTCTCAAGAACTAGATTGAAAACCAAAAGTCCGACTGTGTTTAGTTGTAGCGCTAAGTTTCGACTATAGTTTGAGACTATCCCGAACTATTTAGCACTTAAAATAGTAGAGAACTCTTTGTCGCCCTAATAACGCTAAAACTCAAAAAAAAACGACTTCAAGAAAAAAACGCTATGCATTTGTCAACGCACTTTAGAGCTTTGAAGGAACGTTTTAACAGAAGGTCACATAGAGTTGTGCTATGTCTCATGTTGACCAGAAAAGGTTATTCCACAAATCTACACGTTTAGAACATAGTGTAGTTGCACAGATGCCGTGAAAAAAACTAGAGTTTGAATATATTATTTTTAGAGGTTTCTAAAAAAACTATCTCTAAAACTATGAAGATTTTACCTCGGGGACAAAAAGTGATATAGATTCTGAAGGTAAATACTATGGGCTACCCAGCCATGTATTAATGTCAAAATCGATATTTTTGATAAAAATTGACTTTCTGGTTTAGTTAGGGGAATTCAATATTCTTTTTCAGACCTATGTTTCGCTTACTTTCGGTGGCGATGTAACGATAACTAAATCGACTTCTGGTACGTCCAATCCTCTAGCGGCCACATCGGTGGTAATCAGTAAACGATATTTGCCTTCACGAAAACGCTAAAATAGAAGTTACACAAAACATATACATATGAAAAAGATGTTTTAGTTCTCAACGTAAGAAAGTATCTTCACTTCTCAATATCCAAGAGACTATGAATACACCAGACGCTGTGCATTTACCCAAATCGAAACTCACAGAATTTTTACATTAATTTCAGCTATAGTAAAAATTTCGATTTGGATTTGGTGAATTCCTACAATAAACTGTACATTTGTTCTTTGTCACTTACCTGCAGTACTAATTCTCGTTTATCTTGTGGTATATCTCCATGTAATACGTGTGATTCTGTTCTAATTTCATGACTAACTGATAACTCATCACATTCTCGTTTTGTTTCACAAAAACAGATAGCACGACCGTCATTTCCACTATACATTTTCATCAATGAATCGATGACATTAGCACGTGAATAAGATGGTATAGGTATGGCAAGATGTTGAACACTTGTCGCCGTTTTTTCTCGTGCATCTTTAATTAGATCAATCATTTCAAATTTAGTATCAGTAGACATATATTTTCGTGATGCTTGTTTCACCCAGGGAGTAATCGTGGCAGAAAACATCACTATTTGTGGTTTGGCTCTACCTAAAATACGAGAGAGGAAAAAAAATCATCAAAAGCAGGACAGACCATGACGTATTTTCTAGTCTAACTACGAATGTAGTAACAAGAACACGATTAGTGTTCTCAGTAAAATGTAGAAGACTATGTACTAAAAAGCATATTCAGATCTTTTATTTAGTGAAAGTTTGTCGACTACTTTTCTTCGAAGTTAAACGAACTTGTTATCGCTCAGATATCAGCATCAATTTAGTCTATCAAAAACCTTCCTTTGTAAGTTAGTGATTCACAGATATATACAGGGTGGCCCAAAAGTGACTTTATCGAGGTAGACACACATTATTCTGTACATTTTTATTTTGATTGAGCTCGTATTTATACCAAAAGATTCCCCGTTGAATACAGAAAAAACAAACGCAGTTAACAGTTTTTTTAGTATTATCTGCTAAAAGTTTGTGAGAGAGGAAAGCTGAAGTAGACACCGTGTACGCCTCGAAAAGCTGTATTTTCCATCTATAATTTAAATAATTTTCAGTTAGAATTGAGGCGCAAGAATTTCATTTTTTTTGCCAATTTTGACGATTCTCAAAAATGATGATTTTTACCAATAATTTGAGCCTTCTAATAAAACAAATAAATATGAGTCAAACTTGATCCATTCAAGTCTGATTTTTTTAATTCTGAAAACAAGTGATTAGTCGTTATGATCGATTCTCTAAGATTTGAAAAAAAATTCGTTTTGGTCCACCGCTCAAAAAAAAGGTAACAACTTTCGCTATTTTCACTTGATTGCTGAGAAGTTAATCTTTGCATCTGATATTTAGATTCAAATGATTTTCGCGCTACACGACAAGAAAGGGCATATTTGAAACTACACAAAACTATACTAAATCTATGTTTTAATGAGAGGTATTAGAATATCAGTACGCAGTGTATTCTCAAAAAGAAGCTATTTTTTTCAAACTTGCTGGGCTTGGTGTATTTTCGTGTATTTTCACTGAGAACACACCAAGCGCAGCAAGTCTATTCTCAGTGAGAATACACGAGAATATACCATAATACGCAAATAAATCTATAAATTCCTATGAAATCTGCTGGGCTTAGTGGGCTTGGTGTATTCTCAGTGAGAATATACCGGGATACGCAAATATATAAATTTCTATAAAATGTGCTGGGATTGGTGTATTTTCATTGACAAAACACGCCAATAACCAAATGTTGTATAGTGGCTCACTCTCATGCTGCACCGCGGGCCGGCCGGGGGGGGGGGGGGGGGGGGGGGGGGGGGGGTGGGGGGGGGGGGGGGGGGGGGGGGGGGGGGGGGGGGGGGGGGGGGGGGGGGGGNTATAAAATTGGGGGGGCTTTTGGTATTTGAATATACAAAACCCCCCCACAACAAAAATGTGGTATTTTGGGGCAGCCCCCGGCTGACCCCCCCCCCCCCCCCCCATCCGACCGGGACACTATATTATGTATTGTCAATGACAATACACCAAGCCCAGCAAATAGTGTCTTTTTGAGAATACAGTGATATTCTGACATCTCTGGTTTTGATACTTGTAAAAACAATCGAAAAAATTTCGCTCTCTTCCAGAAAATACGTTTATTTTTTCTACATTTTGATACTTCTCACAATTTCTCATGGCATTTTGCACCCTCGGATTTTGCAATAAAACAGTCAATACATTTTTGTAGAGAATTCAACAGGGAATCTTTTGGTATAAAAACGAGCTCAATCAAAATAAAAATGTACAGGACAAATGTGTCTGCCTCGGCAAAGTCACTTTTGGGCCAGGTATGGGCGAGTCCGGACTGGAAGATTTTTTGGGAGACTCGTACTTGAGTTTTTGTATTTCAAGTCCGATCTATTCAACTTTTAACACAAATGAACAAAGAAAAATGAAAAGGGAAATAACAACACCTTCTGTTTCACAAGCAATTGAAAATTTTGTTCGGGAAACGGACATTCAAAGTAACTTTATTGCAAACCACTCTCATCAAAAAGAATCTAAAAGATTATCGAACTCGAAATGGACTCGGTTGTTAATGTTAAGGACTCGAACTCGGCTCGGACTCGGTGTCCCTCTGACTCGCCTATGCCTGTTTTGGGTTACACTGTATATAATGATTCATATTTCTGAAAACATACCGGCTTGAAATGCATGAGATAATATTTCATCGACATCATCTTTAAATCCCATATCTAAATGTATAGACAGACAAAAGTAACGTTATTATTTGTTTTTTTTACTTTCTTTTTTCCTATCTTTGCCTACCTAACATTCGATCGACTTCATCCAAAACAACATGGTTAATATTTGCCAGTGATACTTTGCCATTATTAATAAGGTCCTAGATAAGAAGAAAAAAAACAATAATCAATAAGAGAATCAGTGAGAAAAAACATCTCGAAGTTAGCAACACAGCGCATGCTATTTATATAAAATTTGTCAAGATTTTTGGCCTCTTTACTTGTAATCTTCCAGGTGTTGCCACAATAATATCACATCCTCGTTGTAATCCAAACTCTTGATCTTCATATTTTTTTCCACCATAAATTGTGACAATATTTAAATCAGAACTAATTGATTGTAAATCATCACTAATTTGTTTTGTTAACTCTCTTGTTGGTTCCATAATCAGTACTTGAGGTCTACGACCACGTTCATGTGTCAAACCAGCATTTTGTAAATGTTCAACTAACGGCAGTGTAAATGCCAATGTTTTACCCGTACCCGTGCCTAAATGATACAACAAAATAAAGGCATTGTATTAAAAAATATCTATGCGTTAGAGTTCTCTTCTTTTACGTAACTACATAAAGAAAAAGAGTAACATACAACATGTGAGATTCATTGCGGAAGAGATTTATTGGGGAAAAAAAATCTTAAACTCCATGAGTTGTTCATTGGAATGAGGCTATGCGTAAGAAAAACAGTTTTTTTTACGGTGCCGTTTAAAATGAGAGATAATAGAAGATACAAGTTCATATGGCAGAAAAGCAGATTTTCTTCTTCATGAACAGAAATTCGACTCACAATTTCTGAAGAACTGTTTTTGTTCCCTTAACGTTAGTCAAAGTCATATAAACTAAAATGTTTGTATGTCCACACGAAGAAATAAAAAAACTTAAAAACTCTTAAGAGAAACGGTGTAGATGGCTTGATACTTGGGTACTATACTGAACATAAACTTTAAGGATGAACTGAACTATATTGATTCGATTTTACGACAAGAACAGCTAGCGACTATTTCCTTTTTCTATCCTACGTCAGCAACATATCTAAAACTGATGAGGGTCGCAGAAGCTGTTTGGTCGCGTTAATCCAAACGGTGCAATGCATGCACAAACCCGCTCATTCTAGCGTCATTCAACGCAGCTCGCTTTATTCTACTTATGATGTAAAAATGAAGTTTTTTTGTTCAAGTCTCGAGGTTTCAGAAAAGCTTCTTCGGTACGTAACGGCGTGACATAAAAGGACCCTGAAGTTTGAGAAATGGTGATAAAGCTCTAATTTTCTGCAAAAGTATCTATCCAGCTGAAAAGTGTCAAGAGTCAGTTTTGTAGAACATCGAACGAGCTATTCAACGGGAAAAAAAATTTTCTTCCAACTATTTTTGCTCGAGTATAAAATGCAAAAAACAAACGTAACGTCGTGACGTACTTTTTTGTTACACGATTTTTAGGCACTAAACGTTGATCATAAAACTTTATACTTATAGTTTGTGTAGTTCTAGGTTTCCTGATTCTAGCTGAAAATGAAGTACGAAAAATTCTTTGAGGCTTTCAGACTAAGGTGGATGTTGAAACGTTCAGGCAGCCACTGTGTCTCGATTGAAAAATGGATCTCAAAATAAAATAAGCCATTTTGTAGAGAACTGAATTCTCTCTTCAATGGTATGTTTTTAAAATTTTTTGAACAAAATGTCTAGATCAGAAAACTGAAATTAAAATTTTTATATTGAAAAAAACGCCAGATTCGTGATTAGCATGAAAAGCTGCGTCTAGCAATGTGCCTCTATCGATTTTCAATGAAAAAAATTCAAAAAAAACTTAATCAGCAAAGTGTCACGTTATATGAACCAGCCGTCAGAACAAAAAATAAATACACGATAGAATATTTTCTAATACATACGTGCTTGAACAATACAATCTTTATGATGATAAATGGCATTATAACTTTCATACTGAACGGGAAATAAAAAATTAATACCACGAGCTGAAATAACACAGAATAAACAATGAAGTATAGAGTACTGTTAAATTCTACAATATACACAAGTTTCTTTCATACTGTTGTAAGTAAAAAATTACGATTTACTACTAGGTTTTCTAAGATAAACGATCAGTTTTAAACGAACCTTTTAATTTTTGTATTGTCTTTTCACTAATATTGAAATTAGAAAAATTTCCTTTTTCTTTTTCTGCTGCATTAAAATTAAATTCATTTTTTGATATAATGTTGTTTGAAGATTGATCATTATCTAAACAAAAATATAACGTCATTCTACTAGCTGATCAAAACAGTAGGTAGACATACCCTCGATACTCTTAAGATTTACTGCCAACGACTGAAGTGTTCGATACTATAATAAGAGAGGAAAAAAATTAAAGTATAAATTTGTAGAAAAAACGACATTTCAACTTCTATCACCTTCACAAGAAGAGCACAATTGTTTATTTACTTTAATGAATCACGTGTATTCTTCACAAGAAACATAATATTTCTTCATGTAACAACAACGTCTCTTCTACCCAAGAGATGATGGGAAATATTTTTACTTTCCTTCTCAATAGACATTTTGAAATGCAACTGAAATTACGTACTCCTTATGACACAAACATCTAAATCAGAATAGTCTACATTCTTTTTTAATCAACTGTCAGAGTGAAATTACTTATATTTACCGATGTATAATTGTGAACCATTTGTATCGAATGATGTTGAGAAAAAATAACAGACGACAAAGGATGACAATAGCAATCATCTAAACAAACAAGCGATAAAATAACAATAGTCTGGAAGCTGCATTAAAGAAAATTTTATTTAAGTCTAACGAGGGAACCTTCTGAAGTGCTAAAAGCCTTTTTGAATGGGACTATTTTTAAAATGTAGACCCAGTGTTTTATCTATTGTCCAGCCAAAGAAAGAATGGTATATGACTGTTTTTTGAATAACTTTCGATAGGAAAAACCTAAAGAGCTTCAATTTTCACCATTCGAAAGAGAAGATTTGGGGACATGTTTTCATAACCAAAAATTTTCCCAGAAGAGCTTTCTGGAACAGGTTTTCCAGGGGATCTTTGGAAAATTAGCTCGCGTGTAAAAATTTTCCAATAGGATTGTATTGATTTGTTTTCACAGACT